AAGAGATAGCCCATTAGTCTGGAAAATTAAAGCTTGATAAAGTTTGGAGAACTCTACAACCAACAAATGTTTCAGGGAACCATGCTTCTTCTATCACATGGCTTAGAACTTTCAAAGTCAACAGTGAATCCCACTGGAAGTCTTAGGGGTTAGGTCTGGAAGTGATGTACACCGCCTTTGGTTTATTTTTAGGCACATGGCAAAATTCCCAAGTTCAATTCCAAACTGAAGATATAATCTCCCAATGGGCTCAGAGAAGAGGAAACTGGACTGGTGAGCATCTACCCATCTCTGCCACACATAAACTAGGAAAACACTGCATGCCTACTGAGAACCAAGAATGAAATAAAGTAGAATGAAAGGACTGAACGTGACTAAGGGAGTGAGGAGTAAAATATTAGCTAGATTTTTCAGGCACTGCCTCTCTGAAGAGGTAACATTTGAGCTAAAAGAGATTAGAATGAGCTAGACATGTAAAAATCGGAGAAGTAATACGGGGAGTCCATGGAGAAGGTAGTGGAAAGACCTTGGAGTGGGAATAAGTGTGGCGTGTTTGCAGAATAGTGAGAAGACTGGTGTCACTGAGGAGATAGGGAAAGGGAGAGTGGGAATATACAGCCAAAGAGGTAGGCAAGAGTCTCATCTTGCAAAGGCCACACAGTAAGAAGTTTGGGTTTTATTTTTTCAACAAGGGGGAGACGTCATTGTATTTAAAGCAGGAAATCTGATTATCTGATTTACATTTTAAAAATGTGTTTGGCTATTGTGACATGAGTAATTATTATGGGGTAAGACAGGGTAAATTAGGAGGCTTTTGCAAGAGTATGAGAAATGACCATAGTCATACAGATAGAAAGAAGTGGGAAACAATTAAATATATTCTGGAGGAAAGGCTTATCAGACTTTCTGGTAGATTTAATGGTGGGAATTGCAGGGTGAGAGAATGAGGAATTTTTTAAATGACTCCTAGGCTTTTAGCTTAAGTAAGTTCACACAGATTTGGTACTTTCGCAAAAATAAGGAAGGTAAGGAGAAGATTAGGTTTTCTGCGGGGAAACCAGTTATTTTTTGGACAGATGAAAATTTGGAGAAACTTATTAGATATTCAAGCTCAGGAGAGACGTCATGGTAGAGACACCACCATATGTAAAGTGTTTAAAGCCAGAGAATGGAAGAAGCCACCTGCAAATGAGAGTGAAAAGAGGAAGCTGTAAAGTTGAGTCTAGGGCCAACTTATCAACCAGAAATCTGGCCAGAGAGGAGCAGCTCACTGAAGATGCTGAGAAGGATGTGAGCCTGGGGGTCAGCAGGAATACTAGGAGCTCGCAAATAATAGGAGTCAGGAGAGGAAAAGCAGGAGTGGTCAGTTGTACTGACTGCAGCTCAGAGGTGAAGAAAATGAGAACGAGTGAGTGATGATGGGTGGTGGACATGGGGTGTGGCTAATGACTGGCAAGAGCAGTTTTGGGAGAGGAAAGCAAGAGAACCTGATGGCAGGAGAGAATGGCAAGGACAAGTGGAGGCTGTCAGTTAAGTCCGCACTTTTGTCAGCCTCCTTAGAGACAATGAGCAGGATATGAAGAAACAGCATAGGTTTGATGGGGACTTTTCTGGATAAGAAAGAAAAAATGTTAAACGACTTGGCCACAATGGTGAAACGCTATCTCTACTAAAAATACAAAAATTAGCCAGAAGTGGTGGCGGGCGCCTGTGGTCCCAGCTACTCAGGAGGCTGAGGCAGGAGAATCCCTTGAACCTGGGAATCAGAGTCTGCAGTCAGCCGAGATCACACCACTGCGCTCCAGCCTGGGCAACAGAGTGAGACTCCATCTAAAAAAACAAAACAAACAAACAAACAAGTAGTGGCCATCATGTTGTAGGCTGATGGGAAGCAACCTGTAAGAGTAGAAGAAAGACATCTACCTAAATCAGAGCTTAAAAACTCTCTTAACTAATTTAATTTAAAATCTTTCTGGTTCTTTGACCTATGAAACCATACTCTATGAAAATGCAAACTAGTAAGACATCACTGATTTTTAAATTACCTGGATTTTAATATGCATTTATTTTATTATGACCTTGTTAGAAAAACATTATAAAAATACATTTTGATAAATCTGTTTTTCCAGAGGAAAAAATACATAATTATTCTACACTTAAACACAATCTAGCTACTTATTTTCATATTTAAGTTTATAGCAATTATCCTAGGTCATGCATGTCATGCATTTTGCCCCAGTCATGGGACATATAGTTGTGTATTACTGGCAAAATTGTATGCCCAACTATAAAAACAGAGATTATTTTTTCATTTTATGTATTTAAAATAATGTGTGGCTTATTCACTATTTTGTAGTTTGCCTTTGGGTTAACCAGATCTGACACAAATTCTTTCTTTGTGATTTGCAAGGTGTCTGAGTCTCGTGTATGTGTGTGATTGAGAAGGAGAAAGGAGAGACAGAGAGAGAAAAATAACAACTGCCTTATAGAAATATAAAGGTCAGAGATAGTGTGTGTATATAGCAGCTGAATCCTGGTACTTATAGAGGCTCAGTAAAGCATTGTTATTTATATTATTTCCATTGTCATTGCCATTACTTTTATTGCTATATTTTTGAAGTTAAGAAACCTATACACTATAGCTGAAGAACTTTCTTTCCACTGATGGTCAATAACAAACAAAAATAAACTTCAAAAATACATAGTCCCCAAGCAAAAAAACCTGTCTTTTTCCTTAAAGAAGCATATAATTGGGTCAATAAACACTGTATTGTAGACTTACTAAGTACTAAGATTCTGTATGTGTGTATCTGTAGAGGGGGTGGTATCTGGTTTTAAAATTAAGGACACAGATTATGAAACTATTTGAGAAACACTAATAATTTTAAATTGAGTTTTATATCATGTCTAGTTAAGGATTGGTAGTATAGAATGAGAGTACAGAGAAAGAAGTAGCAGAATAAACTACTACTTTTGGGAGAATGACAAACACATACAGCAAAAAAAGAAATAGTAGTATAAGGAAGCAGAAAATGAGACCAATTGGAAATGAAGTAGACAGGCAAAAAGTGTCCTATGTAAATAAGTTGTCCCAAAGTCACAACTTAATCTTCCACTGAGGTATGTTACCCTAAGAGACTAGTGTTTGATTTTCTTTTACCGATTTATTATTCTACCAATAAACAAACTAATAATGCTACAGCCTTCCCTCCTAATAGGTTAACTAGTGAAGATTGTTAACGAAAACATTATTCTTTGAGTTGCAGTAGTAGTAATCAGGACAGCTGTCTTTCCAAAGGCTGGAAATAAATGAAGCTGAAATCCATATTTTCCCTTTGACTAAGAGCTAAATGTTTCCCTCTGTTTCTTCTTCACATTTTCATTTAATAGAAGCTTTTCCCTTAACCTCCACATAATTGTTGCATTGACCAATATGTCCCATTATCTCCATAAAACACACAAGCTGCACTCATTGAACTCCAACTGCTCAGAGCTCTCCAATCACACACAAGTAGACCAGCACTGACTACACTCATCTGCCAAGGTTCATGATTATAAACAGTCACAGGAGTTTGGTCCTAAATCTGTTTATAAGCCAGTTGTGTTTGCTATTGTAGTATTAGCATTAGTTACGGTGATGAAAAGTGAGAATGATAAACAAAATTGCTTTCGATGAAAATTAATGTTACAAAAAGGTGGGGAGATCAACTGAAGTTGTCTGAAGTTCTTATTTTAGATAAAAGAAATGAAAAATTGAAATTGTAGAAGACTCATTACTGGCATAGCTTAGGTAAGAAATATCATGTAGAATTCCAATCAATAGACATTTAAGAAAAAGTCGTGACCTTACAGCAAAAGACTAGCATATGAGTACAGGCACTTGTTTTATCTTGAAATAGAATACTAAGGTATAAATGTATCATTTTTATGGTTCCCTTTACTAACAGACCTTTTCAATTCATTCACCTACTGCTTTTGGTCATGACAGAAGTATTCATATGTGCTATGTTCTCATGACATATACCAGAGACAACATTCTTGCTACCAGGAAATCATCAACAAATGGGGTTTAGGAAGTAGACTGCACATGCCATATGGTCATCAAGAGCAGAGGAAGTTTTGCAAATAAAAAGGGAATACTCACTACAGGTAAAATATATATGTTAAAGAGTGGTTAATGTCTCTTCTGAGTCATTAGTCCTCCTTAAGAATAATAGGAGCAATTACAAAACAAATGCCATATATTTTTGTACAAGTCTTAGATTTCTTGAAGATCAGTTACATAAATTTGGGACTCTATGACAAAATGCAAGAAAATAATGCTACTTATATAAACTAAACCATAATGAAAATGATGTATCCATGATTATCAACAAAAGCTGGCCACTTAATTAAATGTAAATGTACCATGGAATTATAAGGATTATATATGCATATTTTCTACAGAAATTTTTTTAATTTTGAATAAAAATACTATCCATTTTATAAGTTTTAAAATAAATGTTTATGAATATAAATATGCAGATTTTTAAAACAATTTATTTCAATAAATGTTGAGTAATACTAAGTCTCATCTTTAAACCTACGTAGTTATAGTTCACAAAATTACAGTCCTCATAACAAGTAAAAATAACTTATTAATGGGGAAAAAGAACATTGGTAAAATTGGTAAGTAAAAAAAACAAATGAAATGCATAGTTGCTGAGATCCTATCTTTAAAGTAATCCTAGAAACTTCTCTACAAATGATTTGTGCATTTTTACTCCAACCTCTACAATAAAATACATAATAGTGCACTTAGTCTGTACTGCCACCAAGTGCTTAAACCAATTACTTTTAAGATTCTTACAGCAGCTATAAGCAAATTCTTTCACTGCTATGAGTAGCAATTTTGAAAGGCTAAAAGCAAACCATGTCAACCATGAATGGCTGTAAGAGCACCAAAATTTTGACATGAAAATAAAATCTCAAAAGTATTAATAAAACATCAAAAATCCTACCAGCTCACTGGAAGTTCATGGAGTCTAAAAATATTTTTCAGCTTGTAGTCAAATTTTGCTGGAGAAAGATTTTCTTTACAAACATTCAGGTTTGCATTTGGTTGCATATCTATAGGAAATTCTGAATCCTAGAGAAAAATATTAAACAAGAGCTCTGCGTTAAATATTAAAATCACTGCACATGTTGATACTCTGATTTAATACTAAATTACAACATAAACATTATAATTATATTTGCCCAGAATTTACATGAAGTCCTTCATTTCCAATTTCAGTTTTGAGGAAAATATTTAAAAAGATAAAATTTTAAATAAGGCACATATCAATTTATATAACCAATTACAATTCTAAGCCTCAAGCTACATGTTAAAAATTACTTGAAAATACTCCCTATTTGAATTCCAATGAAGCACAATATGGCATTGTCATATATTATTGGTTGTCTTTTTTTAAATAAGCTTTCCAGGCCCAACAACAACGCCAGCAGTCAAAAGTCCATAATTCTTATGCCCCTTTTGTCCCCTATAAATGGCAGACTAAAAACACTTTCATTGCGTAACAAAGTTAACATTTGCTAATTGATTGATTACGATTTTCTTTTTAAATCTAAGGACACAGGACTAATTTAAAAACACTTACTGAAAGTAAACCGTTTCTATTAATCCCGTCAAATCACACACATTAGAATCCACATATCATTTCTTGGTCACCTCCCTCTCCACCAAGCAAACCATAGCTACAGATCAAAGAGCATTTTCAGTCCATGAGAAAGTAGTCCTTGCTCAGTGGAAAAAAGACATGCTACGAATAAGCACTCAACACATAATGAAGGAGAGATTAATTACTTAACTCGACTCAAAAAAACAAGTTATGAATCCCCTACTAGCTAATTCTGTAAAATTGCTCTGACAGAAGGCTCATATCATGAATTTTTGCACCCATTTATGCATTCAAAAATTATTTATCTCAAACATTGTTTTAGGCATGAAAAATCTTTCTTTTTTCTTTTTTGTTTTTTTTTTTTTTTTTCCATTTTTGAGACAGAGTCTCACTTTGTCGCCCAGGATGGATTGCAGGGGTGGGTTCTTGGCTCACTGCAACCACTGCCTTCTAGATTCAGGCAATTCCCCTGTCTCAGCCACCCGAGTAGCTGGGACTACAGGCGCATGCCACCACGCCCAGCTAATTTTGTGTATTTTTAGTAGAGACGAGTTTCACTATATTGGCCAGGCTGGTCTCAAACTCCCGACCTCCGGTGATCCGCCTGCCTTGGCATCCCAAAGTGGTGGGATTACAGGCGTCGTCAGCACCGCCTCCGGCCTGAAATAATATTTTTCTAATTAACAAAGTAGTACATATTAATATAGAAATTTTGTGCATTTCATAATACTACAAAAACCTAAAAGCTAGCTTAGTCTCACCACCCAGATATAATTACTATTAACACTGTGGTTTAATTACTTAATATTTTCCCATCTTTCTCTCTCAAGTTTTACAAAATTGGAACCACGCTCTATTATCTTCTCTCATTTTTCATTTATCAGTGCTGCATTTTCACATCATTTAGTCTGTTTTGAAGGAATGATGAATGCCACGTTTTACTTATTCAGTGATTTTTGTCTCTCTTATGGTTATCAACGTTATGAACAGAGTATTTGGTCTATAAATCTGCACTTCACTAAGTATTTCCTTAAAGCATAGTACCAGAACTGTAAATAATTCAAATAGAATAAATATTTGAGAAAAACATGATCCCTTTTCACAGACTGCTTTTTAGAAAAGCTGTACCAATTATACTTCTGCCAGTCACGTAGCACTGGGTGCAATTCACCATATCTTTGTTAATGGCATATACACACACATGTGCATACACACATGCACTTAAAACAATCCATTCTTTCAATAGTTATTTCCTTTGAATAATATTTATTATTGAGTGTCAATTTTATGATAGGCACCAGTTTCAGTTCTTATAATATATCACTAAACAAAATAGACAAAATTCTCTCCCTTATGGAGCTTACATTCTAAAACAAGCAACACCTAGGGCAATATAAATAATGAACATATATACTATATTATATCTATAAAACAAAAAACCTGTGAAAAAATTTATTGCCAATTCATATATAATTAAGTTAAACATTTCTATATTTGTTATTTCTTTGCTTTACTTCATATTTTCTGAATTGCATATTTATGCCGATTGCTTATTTTTCTATTGTTTTGCTTGTATTTTATTTTAATGATGATGCTTGGGTTGGAAATAGGGGAAGGAATTTCTAACATAAATTAGTATGTTAGAAAATATAGCAAGATGGATCCAAATCCAGTCTTATATAGTTGTTTGTACTGCATGAAAATATCTGAAACCACAAACACAGCAATTTTTATAAGCATTGTCAAACCAATCATCATATAAAACAAATAGAAAGAGGTATTTAATAAAATCTAATCAACTAGGTCCTGCTGCCTATTTAGTAGAGCTAAAAAAAATAGTAAAATATGATGATAACTGAACAACTATTTATAAAAAGATTTACATCAAGAGCAGCAAAACCCTAATAAAAACAGTCCAATCTAAGCATAGATTCACTTGCAGAGGTAAACATCAGATTTCTTATATCACCCAGCCTATATGCTGAAATATTTCAGGAGACAATGGCCAATACATGGGTAGGCAAGAACAGTGACGTAAATGTGAGATATATAAATAAGAACAATGTGTACAGGATGGAAGAAGTAAAACAAATCTTAAAATTATTCTTCCAAGCAAAAAAACCATAGCCTTTTTTTGTGTTGACAAGGTACAATTGGAAGGCAAAGCTAAGCTCTCAGCAGTGTGCTTTAATAGTTCATTGGTCTCAACTCAAAGTGCACATTGAACTCACTAGGCAGCTTTTTAAAAAAATACCAGTATCACTGAGTCACACCCCAAATAAATTAAATAATGATTTGAGAGTAAGGCTCTGGCACTGGTGTTTATTTTAAAGATTTCTACGTGAAATAGAAGTCAGGGTTAAAATAATGGCTTTCCTTAGCAACTCAGCTCCACCACATACGAGTGCAAACTCAGGCAAGCTATTTAACAAGCTTTCAAAACATATATATACACACACACACATATATGCATATATATATATATATATTTCTATCTGTAAAATGCAAACCCAATCATACCTGTCTTAAACGCTGCATGAAGATTGAGATAATCTCTGCAAAGCATTCATCACATGTTAGTCACCTAACACATTCATTAAATCCTTAGTAAATGTTATCTATTTATATTGCTATTTTTATTATTTCTGCAACTAGTGGCACATTAATTTCAGCTGGTAAGCAAATTCATCATGAATTATTTCATACTCCACTTATTTTTTATGAAATAATTCTATATTCATCAAATTATAAGTTTAATATTCTCCTGGTATATTGATTGAAGCAGACTTGATTTTGACATAATCTTACCCCCCCAAATCCCAGTTTCATAACCAGTTAATGGCTGGTTATCTCTATATGTCCCAGTACCAATAATAAAATAAGTTATTGCTTTATGGGCCAATTAGAATTAAATATAGTCTTATGTTTAAAAAAATGGAAGACCTGTGCTGGACCTGTTTCACTTAACATAATAACTTTCAGTTCCATCCATGTTACTGCAAATGACAGGATTTCATTCTTTTTTATGGCTGAATAATATTCCATTATATATATACCATATTTTCTTTTTTCACTCACCCATTCACGGGCACTTAGGTTGATTCCATATTTCAGCTATTATGAACAGTGCTGCGATAAACATGAGAATGCAGACATCTCTTCATTATATTAAGCGAAATATGCCAAGCACAGAAATACAAATATTGCATGTTCTCACTCATATGTGGAAGCTAAAAAAGTGGATCTAAGAAGATAAAGAATAGATTGGTGGTTACTGGAGGCCGAAAAGGTCAGTGGAGAAGGAAGGATGAAGAGAGGCTGAATAACGGGTACAAATACATAGCTTCATAGAAGAAATAAGACCTAGTGTCCTGTAGAACAGTAGGGTGACTCTAGTTTACAATAATCTATTGTACATTTCAAAATAGCTAGAAGAGAATAATTCAAATATTTCTAACATAAAGAAAAGACAAACATTTAAGGTGATGGGTACCTGAATTATACTGATGTGAACATTACAAATTATATAAATTACCACTTGTACCCTGAAAAAAATAAAAAATAATAAAATATTTTAAATGTCAAAGACCCAATGGGCACCTCATTCTTAACTTGAGTGACACATCAGTTAGGCATCCCATGGGAAGCCAAGCTATCTACTGGGCCTCTTTCCCCATGAGTCCCTTGGGTACCCAGGTTTCCCCCCCAACCCTAGATCTGTGCCACTCAACAGAGGTCTCTGCTTCCCTATCTTGTTATTTGCTGTTCATTGAACTAACATTCACAGGAATTGCCCCAAACAATTTGTAAGTGGAAGTGAAAAATTATTCAATCAGGCATTCTGTCAACATTTGAGTATCTACTCTATTTCAGGAATTATGTTAATTACCAGGTCACAAATATAAGTAGAATACATTCCTTCTACTCCAAGGATTCACAGTCCTGTGAAGGGTACAGCAAAAGTGAAAAAAAAAAAATCATTGGAAAAAGCTAGAGTAAAATATGCAAAAGATAATAAGCAAATAAATAAGCAATAAAACTGTTGGAAAAGGGGAGATAAAATTATCATTAATTACAGATATTATGGTTACATTGATAGATGATTAGATAGACAAGCCAAAAGGAAAAAGAAACTAAAGAGGCCATTTTACTATGGCTGATTACATCTGACAAATTATAAAATTAGTAAGTTTCGCTAGTATGCAATGAATTAACAGAAGATATAAAAGAAAAATATTGTCTGGGTGCAATTCCTTATGCCTGTAATCCTAATATTTTGGTAGGCCGAAGCAGGTGGATCGCTTGAGCTCAGGAGTTCGAGACCAGCCTGGGCAATGTGGTGAAACCCATCTCTACAAAAAATACAAAAATTAGCCAGGTATTGTGGCTCCCACCTGTACTCCCAGTTACTTGGGGGGCTGAGGCAGGAGGATCGCTTGAGCCCAGGAGGTGAAGGTTGCAGTGAGCC